AAATGTTCGTCAGTAAATGAGATGGATTAGATTTTTTCATCTTGGTGTTTTCTCTATCGTGTGAGCTCCACACGTTCACTCTATACAGTGTTGTTTACATTCTGTGATGCGCGAGCTGATGACGTCAAGACGAGTCAACTTTTTTTCCCTCAACTTTGTGTGGAAAAATGCGGGGATTATGCGGCCTTTTGATAAATATGCGGCCTTTTAAAAATCTGCGCCATTTTGCTGATTATGCGGTAAATTCTGCGATCGCAGAATCGCGTTTTTCTGGAGGGTCTAGTTATCACATTATTTAATACGATTTGTTAAAACACTGTTGTTTCTTTTGATGTGAAATATTATTTATTTAATTTAAATAAAAAGCAATGTTAATTTTGTTCAAAATGTGTTTAATTAATGTAATAATATATATATTTTTGAATCAAGTATTCATCTTTATTGTCTTCATTGTTAGTTTCCACATGCCTAAAACAACCTCAAGCTAAATCTAAAAGTTGATGGCTAAATAAGAGCGTTTGAGAAAGTGTGCAAGGCATACAGTAATAGTCCGAATAGTCGATTAATCGTTTCATTAATCGATAGATTCATCGATTATCAAATTAGTCGTTTGTTGCAGCCCTAGTGGCGATAGTGCAAGGTGCAATCTATGTACTCAATCAGTTGCAACACAAGCAACTTAATGAAGCATTTGCAAACAAGACACTCATTGAATCTAAAACGGTGCAGCGTATTTGACAGCCTAAACAATGTGGCTGCTAGCGATACTGCTAGTGCTAATAGTGCTAGCGGCCTTAAGCCGCGCCGTGTGTAAATGTGACCTGAGCGAAGGCTCGCAGGCAGGTTAGCTGCTGCGCACGGGTAATATGTTTTGTTTACCTGAGTGAAGTTTTGCAGGCACATCGCCTTGTCTTTTTTTATTTTATTAACACTGACAGTGTATTAATGTGAGCTCCTACACCTATAATAATTTGGTCTTTCATTGAATGCTTTATAAACCAGTTAAACTTACAGATGTCATTGTGAATTGGAAAACTACATTTAAATGTTGTTAAAGGTCAACGTTTCAATGTATGGTTCAGCAATTGTTGGTCGTTTACTAGGAATTTACATATTTTAAGCTCAAATACTTTGTTCAACGTTTAAACCTTCAGACACATTTTGACGTGTTTCAGTTCAGCACATCATTTATTTTGTGATGATTTAAAAGTACAATTCAGAATAATACACGTACTCGCCTTTATCTTTTTGCCATCTTACCAATTTCTTCCTATCACAGTTTTGCATGATGTCACTGTAGGACAATGTTTTAAGGATCTCTTGTCGAGCTCGGTTGTCAGTTTGAAATGTCTGGATGAAGATATAACTGATTTACAAATGTTAAAAAAAAAAAAATATGCCTCTTTTCATCCTCTGTCCGAGGGAAAACCCCAAAAAGCATGATAGGGCGAGCCAGGCCCCTTTAAGTTATTTTATTTATTTTTGTCTGCTTCTGAGAAGCTAATGTATAAGTTATACAGTTATTTCTGCAAGAAAATTACAATGAAATGACTGTTTAATCTTCACATCTTGTATTCCTGTCTATAATTTTGAGCACCAAATTATTGAAAAAGAATAGAAAAATACCGATAAGCAGTATCGGAATCGATAAAATCCTAACGATACCCATCCCTACTGTCGGGTCAGTCATTACTGGATCAGTGAGAGAGAGAGAGACCCCGCTCATTTCTCCCGTGTTATTATCCAAAGTTAATGTAAACTTGAATATTTGTACTTCATTTGAATGTAATAATTAGGTTGGTTGTTGTTTGTGGAAGCGCCCAGGGGACCTTTTCCCCCTGGGCTAGCCAAGCCTGGGAGAATGCAGGGTAGGAAGCCCTTTCTATACTGTAGAAAAAAACAAAGAACTTCTTGATGTTCATTTTTGTGATTCCGTTTAACTAAATACTTCTTGTATTTCCTCCAGGAATAGACACATGGCTGACGCGGCGCGAGGTCCCGCCGTTGGCAGGCCATTGGCATTTGCCAATGAAGAACGGAGGGCGGTTCATTCCTGGACCCGGATCTCTTCAGCAGGGCAGAATGTCCTATTGGATGCTCTGAAGATCCTCAGTCCGATGTCCCGTGACCTCTCAAGCAGTGAGGAGCTGGTAACCTTCCTGCAGGAGCTGGCTGAGGAGGGCCATAAGCCCACTGTGCTTCGTAGCAAGGATGTATACAGCTACCGCTCCAGCACAAACCAACCGCTGACTCAAGACATGCTGAAACCATCCAACCGAAATATGAGACCAACCGCCAAGAGACGAGGAAGAAAGGCTGTGGCCAAGAAGAGCGAGGTGCACCCGTCATGGAACATCTCCGACATCCCCAAGATTCAAGGGGTTCGTCCTCCAGATCTTCGAGTAGACCATCGGGCCATCATCGGTAGCAGGACACCTAGTCGGACTGTAGAAATATCACAAGAGCTGCAGTTGCGACCCTGTCTCAGACTGACCAACATTGAGGGCCTGACTCGCTTTCATACAGCCAGACTCCAGATACACACTTCCTGGGACTCATCATCTGAGGTTCCCTCTGTTGGTTTTTTACAGCAACAGTCCCTTCCAGCGCTTTCAGGAATACCTTTGCAGCCTTCTCAGAATGGTGGTGGGGCGCCCACCAAAGCTGTGGCCTTGTTCAGCCAGAAGAGCCTGTCCTGCCCAATCCGATTGGATGGCGCCCTTATTGGAGATTCTGCACCGGTCTTCTACACAAACGGACGTGCATTCCCAGAGACTCACACAGCGATGACCAGCAATGGCTGGAGGAGCGATGGCCTTCATCGAAATGGTCGTGGCCCCAAGGAACTAAACCATCCGACCCGTCAGAGAAACGGTTGGAAGAACAAAAACAGTTTGAGATGGAAAGTGATAAAGGTGGATGAATCTCGCTCTGTGGCTGATGCCCGCCGAAAAGCACAGAAGCTCTTACAGGTCAATCTATCTCCTGTGATTCAAATCCAACCACTCAACCATTTGCTAAGAGACTTCAGATACCAGATTAAATGACAATTTACCCCAAATCAACACACATTGTTTCCTTTAACAGATGTTGGTGTTTTACATCATTAGCCTGTACCTGGCTGAGCCTCAGTGTTCATAGCAGACGTCTTACATACGCTTTCATTATCTCTGCTGAGTTTTTGGAGGTAGAGAAGTCGGTCTGACTGAAGTCCTGGTTCCTGACGGGGACACTTTACAAAGCATTCGAAGTTGGGTAAAGATTTGGGATTTGATAACTGGGAAGTTACTGTTGGTCGAATGCTGGTACATATTTACGGTCTACTTTAGTTTACACTAACCTCCTTCAACCAACCATCATTCTGCTTTGAGTTGACCACCTGCGCTCCAATGTTGTCAATTATTTTTGGGATGCAGCATCCACTGTGACTCTTAAGTCAAAAGTTAATTTTCTGCCCTTTTTAAAAGGGTATTGGGTGCTAAAAGTTGTTTTGAAGAGTATTTATGACTAATTTCATGTAAAGTGCCGTTTGTTGGAAAGCCTTTTTTACTTGTAGCGCTCCAAACAGTGCTGTCAATATTCTATTGACTGCCAGGATGAACTGGTGTATGAGGAGAGCGAGACATTTCTTCAGATGAGCAGACGTGGTGGTTGGTTGGTTGTTCACAGCAAAGCAAATAAATTAAAGGAGGGGGAAATAAAGAGAAGTGTTTAGTTTGTCTTCCTTTTTTGTATTGTTGGTGTTTCCACTGGAAATAAGGAGGCTCTGACAACGAGTACAGCAGGGAGTCAAACCTGTGGCCCATACAGAGATACCTGAATGATTTGTTTGAACTTCACTCCTTCACAAAGTGTTCCTTTTTGGTTAAGTATTTTAAACTGTTGGGTAATTTGATGTCTTACAGTAACAACACATGACTATGGAATATGGAAAAGGACTTTGGCCTCGTTAAACATTTGAATGACCAAATGTATCTTATATTAAAATATTGAATGTTTAAGAATTCTTTAATTACATAATTTTTCTCCTTATTCGGCTGGATCTCTCAATTATTTTAAAAAAACCGAGTACAAATTATTTATTTACAAATATTTTTCTCTCAAATTCCATGGTATGACCAAGCCCCCTTCCATATTTCTTCTTGCATTATCTGAATACATTTCTGTACTTTTAAGGCAACTCAATTTGGAGCCTAGATGTAAGACATTTGTTTGGCCAAATAAAAAACTTGTGTGGTGTTATTCGTTAACTTGAGCTACACTTTTGTTTCCTGAGCATTTAAATTTGAAACTGCAGCATCAGAGAAGTGTAATCTCCCATCATAACTCTTCCCTGTGTGAGTCGGTGGTGAGAACACCCACACTGGTTTTCTCTACAGGTGCTAACTTCGAAACATTGGTGCTGAGTTGAATGACAGGCACAAGAATGTCATCATGTTTTTGTAGTTAAAATTGGAGCAATTGGGAGCACTGACTTCCTGTGAGGTATTCATTATGGGGCTGATGGTGCTGCTGCCTTCTGCAGGTTGGGACAAGCATGCCAAACCATTAACTTTTATGTCAACATTTGTGAAAAACTCCTGTGAAGTCCCCTAAAAATATGTCTTAGCAATGTTGTAATTCTTAGTCCACTTACTAGCTTTGTCTCTGACATTTTGCTGATATCAAGACCATTTAATCTGAATGAAAGCCCTGGAAAAAGCCAGTAAGGACACATGGATTTAGGATTTGTAATGTCAGTTTTTGTTTCTTTCCAAAAAGAGAAGATACATTATAAAAAATATATTTATTTGCTTAAACCACCAAATCTTCAAGTACATGTACCAGGTCAGTTAATTTGGACTGTTGCAAAAAAAAAAAAATCAGATTTGAATAGGATATCTTAGCTTGCTGGTGTGAAGTTCATGCATTATTCACAAATTGGCAATCTGCCCTTCTGTTTAGCTGTTCTGGTAAATATTACGTTCTGGAAGAGTCACTCGTTTCCCCCCACCGATCTATCTGTACGAGTCATGTTCATTCCCACTGACAATTCCCTTCTTTCTGTTAGTCTTGTTTGTGCAACACTTAATATTGTATTTCCTACATGCTCTTTGAAAACTGTTTTTATTCAATAAAATCGATCTGAAAAGAAACATGGTTGTCTTTTCCCCCCCATCTACAACATTGTTCATAACTGGCCTATCCTTCAGTTTCAAATTTATTTAATTTAATAAATGTAATTCAGTCAGACAACTCACGTGTTTCTTTGACATGTTTATTAGAACCAGCATATAGTTTGAGTTTGGCATCTAGGCTTGGGCCTCATCACTCCACAGATGTACACAGAACATTGAGTGATGATTAGATAACTATCCCCCGAGCCTACAGGTGGATGCTGGGGCGGTGGCGGGGCAGGCGAGCAACAGCAGCATGAACACAGCATCAGGAACATGAACGCAGCAAAAGCAAGTGAACACAGCAGTGGCAGCAGCAGCATAGCGAGGCAGAGGCAGGAAGACCTGGCAGCTTAAATAGAGCGGCAAGTTAAGGAGAATGTGTTTGGTTGGTTGTAAGAGGGACGATGTGCGTCACGTGTTAATGTATCATTGGTGCTCGAGTTGACTGCCTGAACTAGCTCGCAGGCTTCACCCCATTTCTTTTTTCTTAAAAGTTTAGCCAAGTTATCTGCAATAGTTCCTTGCTAACCCTAATCTTGAGGAAACATAATAAGTGTGTCTTTTGTAGCACAACTTTTTTTATTATGTGTTTACTAAAACAATGTAATAGACATAATTTGAGTTCTTTAAATAGCTTACTAGCCTTTGACAAATTGACTCTCAATGCATATCCGATATAAATACAACATTGGACAAACCTATTTTGATTGGATTTTAGGGCTTTATTAAGATTAGCTTTGTTAAAATGCAATACATTTTTCATTGAAAAAGCTCAATTCATTTATATAGCTTCCATGTAATGTGAATCAATAGCTTCAACTTAATGCATCGTATGGCTTTCATATCATTGTTGTTGAAAAGTCTCATCTCTCCAATAGCATATTTTTTTGACTCAAGGATTTCAAATCAATGCATTATTGCAATACTACAAGGCGGACAAGTCTCTTTTATTGGGTTTTAGAGTTTTTTTTCCTATTTCATATTATTCCTTGAAATGAGGCAGATTGTTCTGTAAACAGGACGATATAGGACACATTATTAAATCTTAGTTCACCTACTTTATATGAAGATTTGAAACTTTTTATTAAAGTCTAGATTTCTTTTAATATCTTCCATTTAATATGACCCATTGACTCCAAGTCAATGCAGCATTGTATTACTACATTGGAGTAAGACACACCAACTTTTTTATATGAATATAGTTTATTAAAAAGCTATTTATAGCTTCCATGTCATGTGACCAAGTCTTAATGCGGAGTCACGACTCCTCATTCATTTAGTAATGTATTACAACACCGGACAGGACGTACACTCTTCTCTTTGTTCGATTGTTTGACCATGTAAACAATATTCATTTTAAATAGTAAGTGGACTGAAATAAAAGCTGCTATGGTGTCAGAGCCGTGCTCCGGGCTCAGCCTGCTGGCATCATCTGTCTGCTGTGGGAGGTGGAGCAGGTGGAGAACCAGATATCAAAGCCAAAGAGGAAATAAGTGACATTCAGTGTGGATGGGGAGCAGCACGTTGAGCCAATCAGGATGCTCAGCTGGCTGATTTCAGCCTTTGATTCAGGGTTGTTAGTTCATTTTAATGAGACAGAGACACATTAAGAAGAAATGTCAAAAGGTCCATGATGTCATGTACATTTTCCACAACAAAGACAAATAAACAGCTGTAAAAAATCTTTCAAAAGTGTGTACAAGCATCAAAATATTCATGTTCACCTCTCTCTCCCTCGCCCATTGACCACTTGAATTTTCAAAATGGCAACCGTTTTTCAAGAGGGCTGTCATTTCAAGCTGAATAAACTTTATTTGACCACATCATGGACATTTTGGCAAAACCACACACACACATTGGCATCACAATGGACTCCAGTGAACACTATTACGGGCACTAGAGAGCACGCGAGCACAAACACACACTACAAAGATGTAAAATATTACTTTACCAACAATGTGGAATTTATTGGCTACATATTACACAGATTATGCACGGCTGCAGCAGCAATAACCATAAAATAATAATTCAAATACCACAAACATGATATTGACCAGTATACAGATTATGCCAACACACTCTCACTCCCTAAACGTCCAGGAGCGACGCTTGGTCAGGGACCCCGTGGCGTGCAGGTGGGACGCGCCGAGGCTCCTTCAGCTTCATAAACGGACGCAAAGAGCTTTCAACTGATTGCAATGTATTCCCATCGGCGGCGGTATTTGACGCTTAGGGAAGCACCGCACCCGTTTATGTAGGCAGCTCTTAAAGGCAATGTGAGCGTCCATTCCAATTGGATAACGGAGTATTGTACGCCCGGAAGTAAGTATTCTCCTTACTGTCGATTGATTTGACAGTGATATCTCCACTACTCATCAACTAAAAACCACCAGATTACCTTTGTTAATTAAACGACATTGATAGGTTTAAATTGTGTACAATGCTTTTGTGTCTTTCCCCTTCAATTCTGAGAAACAAATTGTTTTCTCTGAAATGTGGAGCGCCAAAGAGACTACACTACCCACAATCCCCAGCTATTGTTGTGACGACACCTGTCCGCTTTGTGACAAACCCCGTGATTAATCTTCAAGCTCTGGGATTGTATGTTGGAGTGGCAGTGCGCCAAGGTTAAGCCAAGCGTCAAGCTCTTTGAAATGGAACGAAACCACGGCAGACTATTCAAAACTGGACTCGAACGCCCCCCCAGAAGTACACATGCTGGCTATTGTGTTTCGCACACATGTTCTCTATGGCACGTCTCTACTGGGAATTGTAGTTTTAAAAGACGTTTTCGTTTTCCC